CCGACGTTGGCATGAGGACAGAAGACCAACTGGGATGAGTTCGTTAGGGATGGTACAACCTCAACTGAGAGGCCGAGGGGGCGTGTTGGTATGTCAGTGGGCGAGGTCGGCCTTCAGTTGTTATGTCTCGCCCGCCGAAGCTTTTTGTCAAATAGTGAGAGTCAGAAACCGCAGCAATGCAAGTTACCACAACCTACACCGAGGACTCTCCCCACGACGGAAGCAGCACCACGTCAGCAGCCGACCAGTACGACACAGCATCGGGTGGTGCTGAAGCAGTCGTGGCGGGCGTGTTTCGATCGCCAGCCTAACACATGTTAAGTTGCTCCGGGTTGGGCCAACAAGTGTGACAGTGATGAAGGTGCGTTCGCTTGCGCTTATGATTTCGAAGGAAAAAACCAATCTTTAGGCTGCTACAGGTACGGCGGATCGGCGTTACCAGCCTAAGCAATGGGCTGGTTCACACAATTAGGCGAAGTGACAACCAGGCGCGATGATGGTTACAAACCATGATGGTTATAAGGCTCTACAAACGTGGCCGCCTTTTCTGCGAGCAGGGATACTCGAGCAAGCCGAATTGCGAGGAGCAGTATTCGAGTTCTGGAATACCGTATTCTAAGACGGATCAAAATAAATAGCCAGCGAACAAGGAGGGACTAGACTTCCTGGACGTACTCCGGAGGGACTAGACTTCCTGGACTACCCGAAGGTTCGATGGCTCGACAAACACGCAATGGGCCAGGCAGGAACCCTCCGGGAACGCGCGTGGACTAACGAGAGTCACACGGTCCGTCTTGGATTTTGGGGAATAATAACACACCGGTGAGGAAAATGCGAGGACCAACAAGTTTAGGGTCGAGTTTTGCGAAAGCGAGTGCGCTATTGGCGGTGCTCTTGAGGTCGGACGGCACCCGGCCGGACACGGCGGGGTGTGTGCCCCGTATGGTCTACTTTACAACAGAGCAGGGCGCGGTGGCGTATGCGGTGGCGGTGGCACCGCCGGACGTGTTTGATATGTTGCAGAGTAAGGAGTACTTGGTTGAGGGTTCGGAAGGGTCTGAAATGATTCCGATAATGCTCCCCCACAGCTTCGACTGGTTTGAAGAATTCAGCCGACTGAAGTTCTGTTTGCCAGGAGAGTCGTCGGGGGTGTCAGACCCCGAGGCGGCAGACCCCGAAGCGGCAGACCCCGAGGGTCCCATGTCGCAGGTGGAAGGGATTGTGTTTGGCCAGCTGATGAAGCGACTGACTAGGTTGGGGTTGGACACCACTCAGCCCGAGGGCTGTGACGACCTCGTTCGCGATATTTTCGGAGCGCGACCCATCGAACTTTTGGAACGAGACACCGGCGGCGACGAAGTCTCTGTGGTCTACTCGGGCGAGCTGAAGCCGGAGGAGGTCCAGAACTTCTTGAAGCACGCATCCAAGGAGTGGAGGACTCTCTTCGACCCCCGCCCCTCCCTCCTGTTACGCCCCTATTTCCTGTGGCCTGCCGTCGCCGTCGGCTCCACCGCGGGTACCATGGCCTTGTACTGGGCCGTCCAGATGCTGCGCCATCACTACATTAAAACAGCTCCCATCACGAATAGCTCGATATTGGGCATCGGCAACTCCAGTCTGAACAACACTACCGCCAACACCCCCCTAGCGTGGACGAGGCCACACTGGGCATCAGCAACCCGCTGACGGAGACGAT